CTGCTTCTCCCTCTCCCTCTGCCTGCTGCTCCGCCTGCTTGTATTCTCTCCCTCTGTCAAATAAATAAATAAAATCTTTAAAAAAAAAAAAAAAAGAATGCACAGTATCAACCCTCAGCTCTGAGTCACAACTCATTTAATAATTTAATAAACATGTACTAGATGCCTTCTAGGGATAGAGCAATAGGTTTAGGTATCTGGGGTTATAAAAATCATACAGGGCTCCTGCTCCCAAAACAGCTTATCCTCTACTTAAAGTTGCAATGTTCTATTCTGCAAACATGCTAACATCTCATGTTTGTCCCATAACAAACCATTATAAATTGGTAACATAGCAGGCAAAAACCTAGGAATACTCCAAGAACAGTATTGTAAAGAAAGCTTTCAAAATCTAGATCTAAGAATATATTTGCTTTGGAGAGGATCAGAAATGAAAGGTAAAGGTACTTTAAGTAGACAAAAGGATTTCAAGAGATGACATAGCTGTATCCCACTGAAAAACAATGGGCATAAACAGACCATATTAGCAACTCAGGCCAATAATGAACCAGCTTTTGTTAAATCCAGTTCAACCTGATCAAAAATCTAAGTGGCAGAGTGACAAAGAATGAACACAAAGAGTAGCTTGGTCTCTCATCAGAAGAGAGTAAGCCCTATACATGCCAGTCTAGACAACCCAAAATAAAATCACTGGGAGAAGCATTATCTTTAAGTATGAATAATATATGAATATATAAAAATTCAAATAAGGAAGAAATGAAACAAAATAACTATCTCCTGCATTTGTATAACACTTCGCCTTTTACAGAGGACAGTAACAACCTCACCTCTCAGGTCCTTTCTCTACACTAACCCAGATGATCACATCAATTCCTATTATTCAATACCACACTTACGCTGATGACTATCAAACTGTTATCTTTACTTCAGACCCCTTCTCTGAACTCCAAACTTTTATATTAATCATCTACATTTCCACTTGGCTATCTCCCAAACATCTGACAGACATACGAATTTTTTTCTCTAAAAATCCATTCCTCCCCCACCACCAACCACCAAAGGTGCACAAGCCAAATACCTGAGTCTGCCTACCTCTCACTCTCTTTTCAATCCATCAGCAAGTCCTATTAACTCTAATTCCAAAACATACCATTGAACTTATCCACCTCTCTCCATATCTCAGTCCGTATCTTGTCTTTACTATTGTAATAAACTTTTATCTACCCTCTCTGCCCTTATTCTTACTTCTCCATATGGACTGTAGAGTGGTCATATACAAATATAAATCAGGACAATAATATTCACCTGTTTAAAAACCTCAATGCCTTCTCATTTGACAAAAAATAAAATCCAAACTCTGCCATGGCTTAGAATCCCTGCATGATCCAGCTTCTGCTCACCTCTCCAGCCTCACTTAGGGCCACTAACTTCATTCTGATATTTCAGTTCTTCTAAAAGAGCAAATTCTGTCCCAATTCACAGCCTTTGCAGGTGTCATTCTCTCTTCCTGAAAAGCACAGTTGGTATCTTCATTTTCTTTAGGACTTAGCTTAAGCTACGTTACCCACTCCAAGACTTTTTTGGATCATCATAAAGTAGGTCCTCTTCTCTTTTATTTTCTTTTTTTTTTTATTAAAGATTTTATTTATTTATTCATGAGAGACAGAGAGAGAGAGAGAGAAGCAGAGGGAGAAGCAGAGGGAGGGGGAGAAGCAGGTCCCCTGCTGAGCAGGGAGCCTGATGCGGGGCTCGATCCCAGGACTCTGGGATCATGACCTGAGCCAAAGGCAGACGCTTAACCATCTGAGCCACCCAGGCACCCCTAGCATCTAAATTAATTTCTAAAGGAAAACTTTTAAACTAAAGTTGTCAAAATAAAAATCTGACCTTTTCTTATTTAAAAGCAATTATTTATTGATTAGCTATATAATAAATTCTTATTGGCTGCCACAAAGTAAAATATTCATAAATGTAAGAATTCCTTCTAAAGAGTCAGTAGCTATTTATTACTACTCTGAAAAAAATGTCAAGTGCTTATAAATAATAGATATTAGAAAGCAAATATAGTTTTGAAAAAAAAATACTCAAGTTTTGAGATAGGCCTAGATTCAAAGTCCATTCCACTTCTTCTTAGATGATCTTGAACAACTTATTTGACCTCTTTAAAAAGCCTGTCTCCTTGGGGAGCCTGAGTGGCTCAGTAAGTTAAACGCCTGACTTAGGGTCAGGTCATGATCTCAGGGTCCTGGAATCAAGCCCCACACTGGGCCCCATGGAGCTCCCCGCTCAGCAGGGAGTCTGCTTGTCCCTCTGCCCCTCCCCCTGCTTGTGCTCTGTCTCTCTCTCTAACAAATAAAAAATAAAATAAAAAGCCTGTCTCCTCATCTATAAAGTGCTAGTAATATCTATTTCTCATAGGTCTTATATGAGTTAAATTAATTGAAATAAAGACATGGCTACTTGTTTCCTAATATCCTTTCTTCTCTTCTTTCGGAACAGTACCCCTAAGCTTTACCTGGACATGTGGACACCTAGCTAAAGCTACATTTCCCAACCTCACTTACAATCCCAGTTCTCCTCAATGGAATAAGAAAGGAAATAATGTGTCCAACTCCAGGTTCATGCACCTACAGGGAAGAAAAATGCTTTCTACCTCCTAGCTCTTCTTCTAGCTTGCCAGAATGCATATATGGTAGCAGAATATGGAGCAGCTGTCCAGATTCAGAGATGGAAAACATAGTTGAGAATAAAAGAATGACAGGAGAAAAAGGGCCTAGGTCCTGGATGCTATCATGAAGATGCCATATCAGCCCTATACCACTTACCCTACCTGGACAGTTGCTTAAGGGAGATAAACTCTCTCTTGTTTATCACTGTGATTTTGGCTTGAACCAATATCCTAAATAATGCGACAAAGAAAAAAAAGAGCTGTTATTTTTATTAAGAAAAAATCATTTAAAGTATAATAAACTTCAGTAAGAAAAAAGTTATTACAAAAGTCTTGCATACTATTCCATCCTAAGGCAGGCTGCATTATAATTCTCAATCATTTATTCTCCTCTTATCAAAGTATTAACATGTCTGCCTGTTGCCATGTGACTTGTAGTGCCTCTCTCTGGCAAGTACAACTCTACAGTTCGCTTGGCCATGTGACTTACTCTGGCCAGTGAAATAAGAGAAACTTCCAGTTCCAAGTAGAAGTTTTAAGAGCTATTGTATTTTCCATCAACTCTTGCTCTTTTCTCTCTACCAAGAGAACAGTATGTCACAAACAGGGGGTGCTCTTTCAGTGTGGATCCTAGAATGAAAAAGAATCGTGGAGTAGAACCATAGCTAATTACTAGGGAACCTATAATATGAGCAATAATTAAACTTTTGTTATTGTAAGCTACTGATGTTTTGGGTTACTTCTTATTGCAACATAATCTAGCAAAACATATAGGTAATCTAATACCAAAGAATACCAGGTAATTAAAAAAAAGAGGAGGAGGTCCTGGTTATTAGGGAAATTCATAGGTTAGTAAATAAATGTCAAGAATTGCTTCATATGGAATTTTTAGTTTCATTTTTGGGGGCTTTGTGGGGGGTAGATGCTACATCATAGGACTTCAAGAGACCATGATTCTATAAAGCACAAAAGGAACTGAAACTTTAGAGTTAGGTTTATTGTAAGTGGTTACAGTACAATGTGGGGGAAAAGGGTAAAAATAAAGAGATAACTTCTAAAACATGACGCTTATCTTTTTTCTGTTAATCACAAGGTCATACGATAAAGAATAACCAGTGAATAATATATGATAAAGAATAACCAGTGTATAAATTAACAAAATGAAGAGGGGAGTGGGTACGAATATAAAGGAGTAACATGAAAAATCTTTGTGATGGAACATTTATCTTAATTGTTACTTACATGAATCCTGATAAAACTACACATGCATAAAACTACATACATACACACACACACAAATACCTATAAAACCGATGACATTTGAATAAGGCCTGTGAACTGTGCCAATGTCAATTTCCTGGTTTTGCTATTGTACTACAGTTACATGAGGTATTACAATTAGGGACAACTGGGTAAAAGGTATATGCCACCTCTCTATAGTACTTTTTGCAACTTCCCATGAAAAGGTGGTATTGGAGACCATTACAAAGTAGAGAGGTAGCAATCCAGACAGGAAGAACACTGTGTATAAAGGCAAGCAGATACAGAAGTCTAGGTAATGAAAAGGAGACAATGGAATAGACTTTATTTTTCCAAATAAACCACCCCAAATCTTTTTTGTCTTGCTCTCTCTAAAAATTTAAGAAAATGAGTAACAATTCAGTACTAGTAGACATAAAAAAAAGTTATAAAAAAAACAAGTGTCATTATGCACACAATTTTCCACGTAAGTATTTCTGACATATTAACACACAAAAATTCAGCTACTTAGAATATATCCTTCTAATACTCCATTTTCAAGAGAACCGAGGAACCAGAAGGGGAACTAGCCCTGACATACTTTCAACTACTCCATCACAACCACAACCACCAACTCCTTTAATAATGGAACAGCAGCTCCAAAGACTAAAGTAACAAATGAATACAACCCAGAAAAGCCTATGCATTTAGACACGTATGTTTCCTCAATGTGAATGGCTTGCAAAGTGGACTAAAATCTTCTGACAGTCTTGTGATGTCTAAAACAGACTTGTGTATTTCAAAATACAAAGGAAAACATGATAAAAACGAATAGTAAACAGAAGAATGAAAAAATAAAAAGGAGCAATCCAAACTGACAAAAGAAACAGCAATCTGAAGATGTCTGAAGAGTCAAAAGAATGTCAGTAATAAGGAACTTTAGAAAGGAAAAAAGCCCTGAAGCTGAGTAGAGGAAAAGCTGACGAGAAGGAGCACAAGGAAACATAAGCAGCCATCTGGGCAGTTCACTTAAAGAATGCACAGTACTGGGGCGCCTGGGTGGCTCAGTCAGTTAAGCGTCTGCCTTCAGCTCAGGTCATGATCCCAAGGTCCTGGGATCGAGCCCCACATCAGGCTCCCCGCTCCATGGGGAACCTGCTTCTCCCTCTCCCTCTGCCTGCTGCTCCGCCTGCTTGTATTCTCTCCCTCTGTCAAATAAATAAATAAA